TGAGCTCAGGCGCTTTCGACCGCGCATGTTCGTGGAGCTCGGCCTCTTCTTCGCGCGTCAAGTCAAAGCTCGACATGAAGCTACCGCGGCTCGCACTCATCTTCTCGTCGTCCAAGGGCAAAGCTATTGTGGTTTCGCCGGTCGTTTCTCGTTGCATTTCGGATATCGATGACTCGACGCGGATGGCGGCTACTGCTCGTGCTCCTCGTCGCCGTCGGCTGCGCTGCGTTCCTCGTGGTGCAAGGCCCGACGACCGATGGACGCGACCCGCCGCCGTGCGTCCAAGCATCGCTGCGCGTTGCCCAAGCCGTGTCCCTCGACGAGCTGCAGCACGCGCAACCCAATGTCTCGCACGCGCTCGTGGCGTTCCTCGCGCAGTCCAACGTCAAGACGAGCGTCCGTCTCCGGCGTGTTGACGTGGCAGCGCCATCGCTCAGCGCAAAGGGCAAAGTGGTATTGGATATCTGCTTTCACCTGCCCATGGACGCCAACCGGTCGGCCCTTGGCACCGCCTTGGACGCGTCACTGGTCTGGACGGGCGTGCGCACGTCGCTGGGCACGCTCCATCGGCGCTTCCAGCTCCTCGACCAGGCGACGCCGTTTGAGGTACTACCATGCGGTTTCTGTCGAACGCTGCGTCACTCGATCGTGTAGCTACTGGCGGCACCGGTCTTCCGCGGCGAGGCCGAGCCCACGGGGCCGACGAGCGCGGGGTACGTGCAATGGTACATTGTACTGCGCGGGGCGTCGCATGGCTTTTGGCATCGCATGGCCGTCGCGCACGCAGTCGCGCAGCTGCTCAATGTCTCGACCACCGCCGTCTTTGCCCCGACCGCGATACAAGCACCGTACGACGTCTACAATGGCGCTGCGACCATCGTACCCATCGCGATCCACGGGGTAGTACAACTTTTTGTCCTCATTATGAGCAACCAAGGTCGACATATGATCGTAGGTGACGCCCAGCACCTTTGATGGCGTCGCGTCGGCGCTGGCACAGCCGCTGCAGACGCTGCTTGCAGCTTCGACATGGCGTCTGTCACTATTGACGCAGACGCCCGATAGCAACGGCGACGGCGCCTTACCGCAGAGGTGCAATGCCATGCACGACACAGCAGCAGCTCATTTTTGGATAGCGCCGCGGCGTGGCCGGCGTATCCGCAGCTCAATCCAACGGCAGCGTACCCACTTTTGAGCGCGTCCAGTCCGCCGCTCTCGGCCTTCATCGTCGCCTACCAGATCGCAGACCCGATGACGCTGCGTTCGATCTCACCCGTCATCGAAGGTCTCGTCAGCGAGCTCGAGCCCAGCTTGAACGCTTCGTTCGTCGTCTTTGCGGACCTGACGCTCACGATGCTGCCGCAAGACGCTTCCGAGATGCTCTCGAGATCGCCCGGTAATTCCATCAACTTTGTCGTCGCTGGCGACGCCGCCACGATCCTCTCCAATGCACAAGCGCTTCAAGCGGCGCAGGACATCACGCTCACACCGCTTCCGACTCTGTCCAAGACCGAGTGGTACCCGTATCTGCAGCTCCAGTGTCCGTATACCCTCGCGCCGCTGCCCGCGACCATCCAGCGCATTGCGATCGCAGCCTTCTTCTCTCGCCCGCTCGACAGCGTCCAAGTTGTGGCCTCGTCGGCGACGACGACGACGTTCGAGTTGGCATTGACACACACGTTCCAGCTTCGGTACGTGATGAGCCAGCTCGAAGCGACGATGGCCTGGGCGACTGTGATGGCGCAGTACGGGGCGGAAGCTGCGAGGTGCTCGCTGGGCGCGCAGTCGCTGCCATACCTCGCAGCGTACCCTGGCTCAACGACACCCTGGAGTGCTGCACCGTCGGTACCGGCGACGTCGACGACGTGTGCGGCCACGCCAGCCACTGGTACTGCATATCGACGCTCCTGAATAGATGGCTTGACGGCACATGTAGCGTGTGATCAGTGCCAGCGCTACTACCGCGCTACGTGCTTTAACATTCCAGCGTGCTACCAAGCCAACGCCGCCTTCATGGCGCAGCTGCAAGCCCTCATTGCAACAGGCGCGACGAACGCTTCTTCGCTCTTCCAGCAGCAGCCATCCGATGTGGTCTTGGCCAAGTACTACTCGTGCCTTGCCGCGTTCGCGTGTCCATTGCACGGCGCGCAGCTTCGCGCCAGCAGCGACGAGACGCACAGTCTCTGGGTCGCCAACACGACGACGGCATTTTCGACCTTGTTGGCTTACTCGTTTGGGGTCTTCAACCTCTCGACGTCCGGGCTCTTGTCCACGCGTGGTGCCCTCGCAACGGCGCTCGCAGCACACGCACCCAGCGTCTTTGTGGATGTGGCCACGAGGGTGGACGCCGCTGGTATGCACATCAACTTGACGTTTTCACCACTGATGCATCGTCCGCTCCCGTTGCCGGTGGTCGTGTCGAGCTCGGCGCCGGCGACGATCACAAGAACATCGATGGCCACGCAGACGCTCGATCCGATTTCTCCCAGCGACAGCGAGGTCATGCTCGAGACACGTACGCCACAACATCCCGTGCTCTACTTCCTGGCTAACGACGCACGTAGCGCTCTGTGCCGCCTGTGCCGCCAACTGTCTGAAGCGAGGTAGCTGTGCCCCTCTGCTTGCGTGCAAGGAGACGGTTGTTCTTCTGTCAGCCGCGCAGCTCTCGACGCGAGACCTGTTTGCCTCTATTGACGTCACCAACGCGCTCACGGCGTGTGTCGAGAATGCAACCAGCGCCGACACACATCTCTTCTTGGAAGCCATGCACTGCCGGCTCGTACACGACTGCCCGATCGTGACGAGCTTTAACGACATTGTACGCGGGCGCATGCTCGCGCTCCGGAGCGTCGTCGGTGTCCAGTCTCTGGACATCGCGACCAACGCGTCGGAGAGCACGCTCCATGTCGATGGACCGACGCCAGCCACGCTGGTAATCGCACCGACCAATGCCTCGGACGTCCTCTCCGCTTTCTTCGCACCGATCGCAGACATCACGCTGTCATCTTTGAAAAGCAACGCAACAACCCTCTTCCTTGCGTTTGCCAACTATGCGACACGCCACCTGCCGTCGCTGTCTGGAACGTCGGTGGTGCAGTGGCCGCGCCTACTGGTCTACGTCGCACCGCTCGACAAGACGCGGTTCGGATTCCCGTATCACGCGTTCCTATCGCCTACCGTACCGACGACCGCTGCCGCGACACCCAACCGTACGTCGTCGTCGTCTGCTTTCATCGTGTTGACGGCATGTAGGCACGTGTGTCGCTTTGCAGCGCCCGGTCGGCGACTGCATCGGCAGCTGTCCGCAGCTCCTGCGCCAAGTGGCATCGGCGATCGCTGTGGCCACCGAGGCCATGACGTGGCAGCCTCCCGGATCCACCTTGTCGCTTCCGTTCAACTGGCACGAGGCGTTTACGACGGCCGTGGCTGTCCATCCCCATGGCATGCGATCGTACCTCGCGACCATGATGGCCCGTGACGTCGTCGGCTGTCCCGTGACGGGACGCTTGGACCTTGGGCTTCAAATGACGCTGTCATCGTCACCACTCGTGCTCTCGGTGACGATTCCCAGCCCGGATGACAACATCACTTTGTCTGTGGGCGGCATGGACGTCGGGACGATTTCGCCGGCGTCGGCCGCGCCTGCACAGATACCGCGCCTCCTCGCTGGCCTCGCCAAGGCTACCGCCACCGTGTTCTCGTCTTCGTCCACTGCGCTCGTCTTGCAGCTCTCTCTCGACTCGTTTTACAGTCCATCGTTGGAGCTGAGGACATTCAGTGGCGCGGCCTTGGGTGTTGAGATCCTCGGTACACAATCCCACGCGCTCGCGATCGCTGCGCTCGACCCGAGCGCCTTTGTGCCACACTAACACGACAACCAAGCAGTTTGTACGAGCACGACGTGTCGTTAAAGCAACGCTGGCGCTGTTTTTGCTGCCTGATTTTGTTGTTGCTGCAGGAGCAGCCGCTCCTTTAGACTCGGGCCCGACCGACTGCTGAGTTTACCGCCCTTTTTCTGTCCCGGGTGCGGTCGTACAATGCTCGAGCTTCGTGCGACGGCCGTCGAGACCTTGAGCACATCGGCGCGTGTGATCCCACTGAGCTGCGCGTCGACGGCGGCTTCAAATGCTGCATCCTATACACAATCTTCGCATGGGAGAACGAAAGAGTGGGATGGACGGACCCCAAACGTCTTGCGGAGGAGCATGAGGCAGCGCTTCGCCGCGGGCTTGCCGTGGACGTCGCGGCAGTTGAGGAAATTCGCAAGTGGCGTG